CTTTGGGCCGGGATGAACCTGTTTTCTGCCTCCTGACACTTTTGGGTAACATAGTCCATCATACCCTGTACAGACTTGTCTCTGAGGTCTGTGTCCCAAGGTATTTCACTTAGGAAACTTCTCATCTGTTCATAATTCCCCTTTCTGTATGCTAGCCTTTTGATTCCTAGTTCTTTTTGGGGGGAGATAAGTCCTAGCTCTACCAGGTACTCAAAGTTCAATACACTGTGGTCACTCATTCCCAAGGGCGCTTCCATCTTAACTTCCCTTATATCCCATTCATTTAGGGTAAATATCAAATCAAGCATTGCTGGTTCATCTTCTCCTATCATTCTTGTTGGTTCTTTGGTGTGCTGGCTTAGAAAGTTTCTTGTTGCCACGTCCAGCAGCTTAGCTCTACATGTTTCTGGTCCTCCATACGGGTCTCTGTTCTTCCAATCTATCTTCCCATGGTTGAAGTCTCCCATAATTAGTAGTCCAGATCCATTCCTGCTAGCAACAGAAGCTGCTCTTTCTATTATGTTAATGGTGGCCATGTTGTTTCTATCATATTCCTGTCTAGGTCTTCTGTCATTTGGTGGTGGATTATATATGACTACGACTATAATTTTTTTCCCTCCATTTGTTATAGTACCTGCTATGTAGTCACTGAAACCTTCACAGCCCTGAATATCCATCTCCTCAAAATCCCAGTCTTTTCTTACCAGCAGAGCTACACCACCCCCACCTCTTCCTTCCCTCTCTTTCCTCATAATATAATAGTCCTATGGGAACACTGCGTTTGTTATCGTTTTCGTGATCTTTGTTTCTGTGAGGGCTATTATGTCTGGGTTTTCCTCTAGTACCCGTTCTCCAAGCTCATTTGCTTTATTTGTAATTCCATCGATGTTAGTGTACATCGCTTTGAGGCTCACTTTCTTCTGTCCCTTCTCAAATCGCCTCCTTGGTGAGTGTTCTGCTGGTGGGGGAGGCTGTTCCATGGGTGTGAGGACCTGTGAGGTGGATAACAGGGTCTCAGAGGATACTGGGATGAGGGGCGGGGATCCAGTGAAGGGGGAGGGACAGGGAGTGTATGGGGTGAAAGGGGAGGGAGGACGGGAAGGAAAGGGGGGAGGGAGGACTCGGGAGGAGGGGAGGGGTATAAGGGGGGGGATTGGGTGTGGGGGGAGGGAGATTTGGCTGAACATTTGAGTGGGGGCAGGGAGGGTTTGGGGTAGGGGGGGTTTTCTATGCAGAGGAGGGAGGCGGGGTTGTCCTCCCTTCTGGTGTTACTGGGTAGCTGGTTGTGGGTTCCCCCCTCGCCTCTGGGGGTGTTGTGTTGGGAGCTGTGACTTCCTGGTTTTCCCCTATCGCCCTGCACCTCTTCCTTGCTTCTGCCGCCACGGCTCTCTCCTCCCTTGTCATGTCTCTCTGGAGGAATACATTTTTGAATTTTCCCACGTTTTTCAGGGAGCTCTTCCTTGATAGGATCTTCTCCTTGTGTTCTCGTTTGCAAACACTATCTTTATCATTCGGTCTCGGTCTTTGTTGTACCAGCCTTGCCTGAAAACCTTCTCAATGCTATGCTCAGCCCCTTCCATGTCTAGTGCCTTTAGTACTTCATTCACTGCTGCTTTGTCCTTGTCATTCCATTCTGTCCTATTAGATCCTTCCTGCTCTTTAATACCCACAGCAACCACTGATCTGTTCCTTTCCAGCAGTTGGCTAGTGGAGCGTGCCGCCTCCTGTGAGGTGGCTGCTTTCATGGCCACCTCCATCACTGCAGTCATTACTTCAGAGTTATTTTTTTTTAGTATTTCCGCAAATGTTGCTTTTATTGTGGCATTCTCATCCAAAAACTATTACCACCTTCTCCCTGGATGGTTTTCTGATTCTCAGCCTCGATACCATTCTCTTTGAGGGCTCTAATCTCCTCCTTTGCTGCTGTCAGCTCTCTTTTCAGGTTGTTTATTTCGTTCTTCATTTCCTGCATCATTTCTTGCATCTCACTCTTGATGTCCTCCAGAAACTGGGCGAACATTTCCTTCATCTCGTCACCTTGGCTCTTTCCTGTTCCCCTGGTACCTCTGGCTGCCATGCTTGACCCTGTTGGGATGGGGGAGGGAGAGAGAGAGAGAGAGGAAGAGAGAGAGAAAGAGAGAGAGAGAAAGGGAGTGATAAAGGGAGAGATAAATTTTTCCGACCCTTCCACTGAAGTGAGAAGAAAGTAGAAGGGGAGGGGGGGAGGAGATGGAGAGAGAGGCGGCAGGGAGAGAGGGAGAGGGAGAGAGATGGAGAGAGTGTGTGTGTGTGTGTGTGTGTGTGTGTGTGTGTGTGTGTGTGTGTGTGTGTGTGTGTGTGTGTGTGTGTGTGTGTGTGTGTGTGTGCGTGTGTGTGTGTGTGTGTGTGTGTGTGTGTGTGTGTGTGTGTGTGTGTGTGTGTGTGTATGTACTCACCTATTTGTACTCACTTATTTGTGCTTGCAGAATCGAGCACTGGCTCTTGGATCCCGCCTTTCCAGCCATCGGTTGTTTACAGCAATGACTCCTGTCCCATTTCCCTATCATACCTAATTTTAAAATTATGAACAGAGTTTGCTTCCACAACCTGTTCCACAAGTGCATTCCATTTTTCCACTACTCTCACGCTAAAAGAAAACTTCCTAACATCTCTGTGACTCATCTGAGTTTCCAGTTTCCACCCATGTCCCCTCTTTCTGTTATTTTTACGTGTGAACATTTCATCTATTTCCACTTTGTCAATTCCTCTAAGTATTTATTGAGGTTCAGTTCCCTCAGACGTTCTTCATATCCCATCCCTCGTAACTCTGGGACAAGCCTCGTCGCAAACCTCTGAACCTTTTCTCTTCCTTATGTGTTTCTTCAGGTGGGGGCTCCATGATGGCGCGGCATACTCTAAGACGGGTCTCACGTAGGCAGTGTAAAGCGCCCTAAAAGCCTCCTCACTTAGGTTTCTGAATGTGGTTCTAATTTTCGCCAGTGTAGAGTACGCTGCTGTCGTTATCCTATTTATATGTGCCTCAGGAGTTAGATTAGGTGTTACTTCCACTCCCAGGTCTCTTTCTCGAATCGTTACAGGTAGACAGTTCCCCTTCATTGTGTACTGTCCTTTTGGTCGTCTATCACCTGATCCCATTTCCATAACTTTACATTTACTGGTGTTGAACTCCAGCAGCCATTTCCCTGACCACCTCTGCAACCTGTTTAAGTCCTCTTGGAGCATCCTACAATCCTCAACTGTCACAACTCTTCTCATTAATTTTGCATCATCCGCAAACATTGACATGTATGATTCCACTCCTGTAAACATATCATTTACGTAAATTAGAAAGAGGATTGGGCCCAGCACCGATCCTTGAGGTACTCCACTTGTTACTGTTCGCCAGTCCGACTTCTCGCCCCTTACCATTACCCTCTGGCTCCTTCCTGTTAGGTAGTTCCTCACCCATGCTAGGGCCTTTCCGCTTACTCCTGCCTGCATCTCAAGTTTGTATAGCAGTCTCATGTGCGGTACCGTATCAAAGGCCTTTTGGCAGTCAAGAAATATGCAGTCTGCCCAGCCTTCTCTTTCCTGCCTTATCCTTGTTACTTTGTCATAGAATTCTAAAAGGTTTGTTAGGCATGATTTCCCTTTCCAGAACCCATGTTGGTGCTTGTTTACAAACCCAATGCTCTCCAGGTGCTCAACAAGTCTTAGCCTAATTATTCTTTCAAGTATTTTGCAGGGGATGCTTGTCAGTGATACGGGTCTGTAGTTAAGTGCCTCCTCCCTATCATCTTTTTTGAAAATCGGTACGACATTTGCCTCCTTCCAGCAACTGGGCAATTCTCCCGACATAAGTGACTCATTAAAGATCATTGCCAGAGGCACGCTGAGAGCCTGCGCTGCCTCTTTAAGTATCCACGGTGATACTTTGTCTGGTCCAACAGCTTTATTTGCATCCAGTGTTGTCAACTGTTTCATTACCTCCTCTGCTGTCACCTCTATATCTGATAGTCTTCCATCTAGTGTAATCTCTTCTAACAATGGGAGCCACTCAGGCTTGGTTGTGAACACTCCATGGAAACCTGCAATTAGTACCTCACAGATTTCCTTGTCGCTTTCTGTATATGCCCCTTCTGTTTTCCTCAGTCTTGTCACTTGGTCATTTACCGACATATTCCTTCTTATATGGCTATATAGTAATTTAGGTTGCTTTTTCGCTTTGATTGCAATATCATTCTCATAATTTCTTTCCGACACTCGTCTTATGTTAATGTAATCGTTCCTAGCTCTGTTACATCTAATCCTGTTGTCCTCTGTCCTTTGTCTTCTGTACTTCCTCCACTCCCTCCTGCTTCTCACCTTTGCTTCCTGACACTGTCTATTAAACCATGGGTTATTATATTCCCTCCTGCTTTTTTCCTTTATTGTTGGAATAAATCTATCTTCAGCCTCTTTGCATTTTCATTTGACTTGGTTCATCATATCTTGCACTGTTTTTCCTCTAATTTCTTCCTCCCACTGCACTTCTCCCAGGTAGTCCCTTATCCTTCTGTAGTCCCCTTTTCTGTAATCAAGTCTCCTTTCCCGGACCTCTTGTCCTTTGGTCACAATTTTAAGCTCCATCATGTAGTCAAAGACTAGGACACAATGGTCACTGGCTCCTAGTTGTATTTCATGCTCTAAATGCTCGATGTCTTTTACATTCTGGGTGAAAACGAGGTCTAATAGGCTGGGCGTATCCCCTCCTTTTTCCCTAGTGTCTTCTTTCGCATGCTGTGTTAGGAAATTCCTGTCAATAACGTCTACTAGCTTCGCTCCCCAGGTCTCCTCCCCGCCATGGGGATTCTTCGTTTCCACGCGATTCTTCGTGTGTGTGTGTGTGTGTGTGTGTGTGTGTGTGTGTGTGTGTGTGTGTGTGTGTGTGTGTGTGTGCGTGCGCGCGCGCGTGCGCTCCCTAGTCATGTACAAGAGGCTAAGTCTAGCGGGAGGTAGTGAGCTTTGCGGCGTGTGGGGAGGCGGGTCTGTGAGTCAGTCAGCCGGCGAGAGCCGTGGAGGAAGGGTGTGTATCTCCTCGCTCCTGTGAACACAACACTCTGCGCTCCTCGCAATCATCCACCTCTCATTACTCAACTGTTCAGATATAATGTTTCCATACATCTGGACGACGGTTTTCGTGAGAGATTCTACGAGGAATGTTTACGAACAAACGTGAGCCGCATTAACTACCAGTTGTGTTAATTAGATCGACCTCATAATACTTTTTTTTAAGTAATCTGATCAAGGAAACAACAGAACCATGAAACAATTGTTTTAATCATATTCTGGCAAGGATGACTCTCTCCCCTTGGACAAAATTCTTCACAAAGGTAAGTAAAACAGTTTGAATTAGCTGTATTAATGGTATTAATACAAAAAACAATATCTTTCACTATGCTTTGAGAACAAAATTAGCGTTGTAAATATGTAAGGCAATGTTAGGTTGGGTCTTGGTGTAGGTTAGGTCAGGCTAGGCCAGACTGAGTGTTGAGGGTCGAATCATTGCTTAGGTCAGGATGGGCTAAGTGAGGTTAGGTCAGGTTAGGCCTGATTTGGTTAGGTTACTTTAGGTCATTTCAATTCAGATTACATTAGGATAGGATTAATAAGCTCATGTTAAGTTAGGATAGATTATATCAGCTCAGATTAAGTTAGGATAGATTATATCAGTTCAGATTAAGTTAGGATAGATTATATCAGTTCAGATTAAGTTAGGATAGATTATATCAGCTCAGATTAAGTTAGGATAGATTATATCAGTTCAGATTAAGTTAGAAGAGATTATATCAGCTCAGGTTAAGTTAGGATCAGGTTAGGTTAGGATAGATTATATCACCTAAGGTTAAGTTAAGGTAGATTATATCAGCTCAGGTTAAGTTAAATGTAAAAATATTTTAAGTCCCCATGGTGCAGTGGTAACAAACTCGCCCCGCATTTCACAAGCAGTTTGGCCTGGGTTCATATCCTGGCCGGGGAGGATTGACTAGACGCCAATCCTTTACTGTGCGCATCTGTTCACACAGCAGTGAATGGGTATCTGGTTGTTAAACGATTTCACGGGTCGTATACCAGGGCAAATTATGATTTAAGAACCTGCATGAATCGCTGTGTGTTATAGTGGCTTTACAAGAATATTAGAACTCTTGAAGGTTATAAATAAAAAATCTTTGTAAGGGTTTAGTTTGTTCTTGTTACCGTTCAGAACTGCCACATTCTTCATGTGGAATGTGTCAGTATTATTGTTCTTAATAATAGTGTTGTCATATGAAGAAAAATTGACAAAGTTTATATTACATTATCTTGAAAGGCGAAGAATTTTGGGTGACAAGTGATGTACAAGTGGATGAATGGACATAATAAAGAGGATATTAATAGGGTGTTAAAAGTATCAATACAAGACAGAACACGAAACAATGGGTATAAATTGTAAGTTTAGATTTAGGAAATACCTGGATAAATACTTGTTCGGTAACAGGGTTGTTGATTTGTGGAACCAATTACCGTGTAACGTAGAGGAAGTGTGATCCCTTCATTGTTTCAAGCGTAGGTTGCACAGATGCATATGAATGAGATTGGGTGGTTATAAATGGGCGCTGCCTCGTATGGACCAATAGGCATGATGCAGTTACCTTTATTCTTCTGATCTTATGTTCCTCCATATTGGAACTGCCATGTTATTTGTGTTCAACAGGGCCAAACTGAACAGTTTTCCCTTGATGTGTTCCTCACTGAATGACAGATTATTACCTCAGTGGCACACTCTTCACAGTGCCACATTTCACCGTAACACACTCTTTACAGTGACACACTCTTTACAGTGCCACGCTCTTCACAGTGGCACACTCTCCACAGTGCCACACTTCACAGTGGAACACTCCTCACAGTGGCACACTCTTCACAGTGACACACTCTTCACAGTGGCACACTCTTCAAAGTGGCACACTCTTCACAGTGGCACACTCTTCACAGTGACACACTCTTCACATTGGCATACTTCACAGTGACACACTCTTCACAATGGCACACTCTTCACAGTGGCACACTCTTCACAGTGACACACTCTTCACATTGGCACACTCTTCACAGTGACACACTCTTCACAGTGGCACACTCTTCACAGTACCACACTCTTCACAGTGGCACACTCTTCACAGTGGCACACTCTTCACAGTGACACACTCTTCACATTGGTATACTTCACAGTGACACACTCTTCACAGTGCCACACTCTTCACAGTGGCACACTCTTCACAGTGACACACTCTTCACATTGGCACACTCTTCACAGTGACACACTCTTCACAGTGGCACAGTCTTCACAGTGACACACTCTTCACAGTGACACACTCTTCACATTGGCACACTCTTCACAGTGACTCACTCTTCACAGTGGCACACTCTTCACAGTGACACACTCTTCACATTGGCACACTCTTCACAGTGGCACACTCTTCACAGTGACACACTCTTCACATTGGCACACTCTTCACAGTGGCACACTCTTCACAGTGGCACACTTCACAGTGACACACTCTTCATAGTGACACACTCTTCATAGTGACACACTCTTCATAGTGACACACTCTTCACAGTGGCACCCTCTTCACAGTGACACACTCTTCACAGTGGCACACTCTTCACAGTGGCACACTCTTCACAGTGACACACTCTTCACAGTGGCACACTCTTCACAGTGACACACTCTTCACATTGGCACACTCTTCACAGTGGCACACTCTTCACAGTGGCACACTTCACAGTGACACACTCTACACATTGACACACTCTTCACAGTGCCACACTCTACACATTGCCACACTCTTCACATTGGCACACTTCACAGTGACACACTCTTCATAGTGCCACACTCTACACATTGCCACACTCTTCACATTGGCACACTTCACAGTGACACACTCTTCATAGTGACACACTCTTCATAGTGACACACTCTTCATAGTGACACACTCTTCACAGTGACACACTCTTCACAGTGACACACTCTTCATAGTGACACACTCTTCACAGTGGCACACTCTTCACAGTGGCACACTCTTCACAGTGGCACACTCTTCACAGTGACACACTTCACAGTGACACACTCTTCACATTGGCACACTTCACATTGGCACACTTCACAGTGGCACACTCTTCACAGTGACACACTCTTCACAGTGACACACTTCACAGTGCCACACTCTTCACAGTGCCACACTCTTCACAGTGGCACACTCTTCACAGTGACACACTCTTCACAGTGACACACTTCACAGTGCCACACTCTTCACAGTGCCACACTCTTCACAGTGACAAACTTCACAGTGACACACTCTTCACAGTGGCACACTCTTCACAGTGACACACTTCACAGTGACACACTCTTCACAGTGACACACTCTTCACAGTGGCACACTCTTCACAGTGACACACTCTTCACAGTGACACACTCTTCATAGTGACACACTCTTCACAGTGGCACACTTCACAGTGACACACTCTTCACAGTGACACACTCTTCATAGTGACACACTCTTCACAGTGGCACACTTCACAGTGACACACTCTTCACAGTGACACACTCTTCACAGTGGCACACTCTTCACAGTGACACACTCTTCACAGTGACACACTCTTCATAGTGACACACTCTTCACAGTGGCACACTTCACAGTGACACACTCTTCACAGTGACACACTCTTCATAGTGACACACTCTTCACAGTGGCACACTTCACAGTGACACACTCTTCATAGTGACACACTCTTCACAGTGGCACACTTCACAGTGACACACTCTTCATAGTGACACACTCTTCACAGTGGCACACTTCACAGTGACACACTCTTCATAGTGACACACTCTTCACAGTGGCACACTTCACGATATATATAGCGAATAATTCCTCATTATACATATACCGAGTAACTCCTCACTATACATATACCGAGTAACTCCTCACTATTCATATACCGAGTAACTCCTCACTATACATATACCGAGTAACTCCTCACTATACATATACCGAGTAACTCCTCACTATACACATACCGAGTAACTCCTCACTATACATATACCGAGTAACTCCTCACTATACATATACCGAGTAACTCCTCACTATACATATACCGAGTAACTCCTCACTATACATATACCGAGCAGCGAGTGTTGCACCTTTGCTACATAGAGTCGTGTGTGATGGTCATCCTCTCTATGTGTTGCTGGTCTTTAGTTTCCAGTTTCCGGTGTGAACAATTCGACTGTTTATCTTGTGTGTTGTCTGGGTTTGATTTGCTCTTTCACATGGCCTGTTCCAGTATGTCTCCGGTCTAGTTATTCAGTCATTTGCCGTCTCTTTCCAACAATGAACTCTCTTAAAAAGTGTTCGAAAGCACTAATAAGTCCTTCCGTTTGATATATATATATATATATATATATATATATATATATATATATGTCGTACCTAGTAGCCAGAACGCACTTCTCAGCCTACTATGCAAAGCCCGATTTGCCTAATAAGCCAAGTTTTCATGAATTAATTGTTTTTCGGCAACCTAACCTACCTAACCTAACCTAACCTAACTTTTTCGGCTACCTAACCTAACCTATCCTATAAAGATAGGTTAGGTTAGGTTAGGTAGGGTTGGTTAGGTTCGGTCATATATCTACGTTAATTTTAACTCCAATACAAAACAATTGACCTCATACATAATGAAATGGGGAGCTTTATTATTTCATAAGAACAAAATTTGAGAAAATATATTAATTCAGGAAAACTTGGCTTATTAGGCAAATCGGGTCTTGCATAGTAGGCTGAGAAGTGCGTTCTGGCTACTAGGTACGACATTTACTAGGATTTCTTTAGAAATCCTAGTAAACAACACAGAAATCATCGATAGATACAGCGATAGCAGGCGGCTTGACGTTTGCGAGGCACTACACATCAAGAAGTCAACACCAGCAATCAACAGCCAATTATTGCACAACTATATTCTACCCACCTCAAGACTCCACTCCAATATAGAAGCATCAAGAAATATGGACCAATAGGCTTTCTACAAACACTTCTATTCAATACCCATTGTTTCTGTTCTGTCTTGTGTTGATACTTTTAATACCCTATTAATATCCCATCTTGTTCTAATGCCACATCACCCTTCCCACCTCACTCAAATGTAGATATAAACTCAGAGATACGTAAGTTCTAATCAGTTGTGTATTTGTGAAGTCTTTGAAAATGTAATAAGTTTTACGAAACGCGCCCGTGTCGCGTCAGACTAGAAATAAAAATGAATTTTGGAGAAGTGATTTTTTATTTACCTCCAACAGTGA